ACTTGAAAAACTAGTGGAAAAGAGGAAGAAACAAATATCAGTGAAAAAATTGTCTAAAGTTCACTTATGACTCAGAACTGACACATTTTTTCATGTATCGGGTCCCTATAAGCTTTTTACCCCTGCTGTCATAGGAAATCAGTTACGATGTTGGCATAGAGGAAGGAGATTATGAAGGTTATTAGACTATCAGTGTAGGCAATAAACAGTTTTCCTGTTCAGTTTCAGGCTTGTGTGGGTTGATATGTGATTAAAACCCACCCTGAAAATTGAAGGATCTACAGCCACCTTCCCCACAGGACTTGTGGAGGTTCCTAGTTAAAAATTGTCTCTTTTATTGAATTTTGTGGAAACTACTGAGAAAATTAATTGGAGTAAGCGGCAGCAGAACTTTTACCAGCAACAGCAGTTCAAAAACCTCAATCAGTTTAATTGATGCTCCCCTACAAATTCTCCAAACTTCTCACTCCCTTTCCTTTTATCCATATTGTGAGTGGGGAGCACAGCCTCTGTAGAAATGCTGCAATTTTTACAGGCATATGTGTGGAAATGAGAGCACTGGTGTCCATTGGGTATGATAACAAAGAGAATAGAATAAGGAACTTTTTATTTCTGACTGTGCCAGCTCCTGGACTTATTTCCCAGGAGCCCACAAAGCATAGAATGTGGAGAGAACCTAATGGATCCATCCTAATGGAAGTAATGGAAAAATATTATTAGCACATTCATTCACGTGCTTACTAGTGTGGGATGAGAATTATGCTAATTTTAGAAATCTGCATTCTGTAGCTGAAAACCCACAAAGTTCATCAGAATAACTGATATGTGCACGTGGGACTGATTTATTAAAGAAATATGGATATTGATCTAGTATCGATATCCAACTGTGACGGACAAAAACTCTCTAACAGTTAAAAGTTAGAAAGTGTATGTTTATTCGACGCCGGGCGGCGTGCGGGATAGCTCCCAAATACACACCGCACCTTCCAGGTGATTACAGAGTCTTTTTATCCATATAAGTATTGAATATACAAAATACAAATGCATATTCATAATTTTGGTACATCCCATTCCCCGCTTCGTATGCTAATCACTCTAAAAGCTATTAAGCATGCGTAGTTTGTCCCTTGAAATGGGTCGGTGGTCCCTTTTATGGGGAGGGGTCCCAAAATGAGGAAGTAAATGAAGTCTTCCTCGTTCTGACCTTTCTACCTTTTCAATGCAAATGTGACAAATGAACTCTTGGTAGAACTCCCATTCCTTGTCTTCAATTGGTTTCAGAACAGAGGAGGCCCACAATTGTCTTATGTTCCTAAAAGCTATTTATCAGTTTCTATATTCTTCATTATAAACCCAGCTAACCAAACATTGTGCTGACAAGCAATTAATTATTAGTTAACTACTAGCTCCTAACTTCATCAAGGCCTACTCATTTATTATTCTTATTTTAATTAACTCTAGTAAGGCTTATTTCTAGCTAAAATCTTAACTCCTCAAAATCTCTAAATGCCTTAAAGTTTACGTTTCAGGACCATTTTTTTCTTTGTTTTATTTTGTTCTAGACCCACTGTACCAGAAAATGGATGGGCAGAAGTAAAAGGGCAGCTATGGAAGTAACTGAAGCTGGTAGAGTGATGGCCACTGTTTCAGGTCCTCAGTGCTGTGTGGTGGCTGGTGGATACAGAAGGGAAATAAGTGAAGGAGAGATATGAGGTGTCAACAAAAGCTGCCATTTGCATAAGGGCAGCTGTGCTTGATGCTGGTTTTTCTGTACCTGTTATTGGAAGCCAGTGGGAGGCAATCATTACAAGAATCCATAAAGCTAGCTGTTAATTGAAACCCAAATTTAGTTCAAGAAAAAAAAAGAAAAATTCAAAATAACTCTGTGAAAGAGATGAAGTGTCATGGGAGTTATCTAAGTCATGTACAATTTTCGGAAAATTTGTGATACATGTAAGGCAATCTGAGGATTATTTTAAAATATGCACAGATGACATCCACTTGATTGTGTCTTGTGAGTTGTGTTTTGTTTGAGGCACACTGTGATGCAGATTTGATTGTTGAGGGCAGTCTGTGCCTTGGCTCCTTCAGGTTTGCTTGTGCTGAAGGGCTCCTGTCAGACTACTTGTGTCAACTTAATTATCTAGTTAATTATAAAGTGAAAAAACACATGAATTTTCCATAGCGCTGAGATTCTAAATTAAATTGTAAGCTATATTTAACTCTCAACTAAAATTGACAATGTTTAAGGATCCAGGGAATTTTAAATTGTTATTTATGATATCAATGTGGTTAACAAAGACTGTCATGAGAAGTTTAAAAAATAAAAAACCAAAAAAGGTTACTATTTTTATAATCGAGGTCTGAATCTGTGTTTTCAGCTCCAAATTTATGAATCTCTAGTGCTCAGATTAACAAGTGTGTGTGTGTGTGAAAATGGAGATATCTCAGACATTTTTTGCAATATACAGTTTATTATACTATCATAGGTATAATTTTAATCTTAATTCTTCAAAATAACATTTAGAACTTCACACATTCACACTCCTGTATGAAGAAAGATCACCAGTCTTGGCAGATACTCAGAACAGAAACTGCTTTTCTCTGCCTCTCAAAAATGTAGAGTAACAACAGAGTGAGTTTGGCAAGCATTTTGAGCAATGCTTCCTTTGAAGCATTTTAAAATACTAGTACGTATTCCTGTCTGTATTCTGCTTTACCAGCTGGGCTCACACAAACCTTTGAGTGTCTACCCAATTTGTCTTCAAAAAGAAATAATAGAACACTCAGATTCATACTCTCATCTTCAAAAATTATTTTTTCTCTGTTCACATACTCAAGCCATCTCTCTGAAATAGAAAAATTAGATCTTTCTATGAGCTACCCATGGGGTTTCATGATCCAACCCATTTTCATCACCTTTCTCTACACAGATCTTAGGTAACTTTGAAGCACTGAAACTCTGGGAACTCTGTTTTCTTTTCAAACAAAAGAGTAAGATCTGTTTGATATAGGGATATGAGGAACAGCCATCAGACTCAGAGAGTAACACCAGTAGGAGAAGCTCTGCTTCAAACAATGTTCAGATATATCAGAACTGAAAAATATGAGACATCACTTACCACTGTAACAAATGAGTGGAAAGAATTACCATTCAGTTGTTAAAGTTTTATTTGTTTTCTGAAATAGAAAATTGGGTCTGGTAATTGAGTCTCTGGTACAAAATTCTGCACTCTTCGTGGTAAAGAAAGGGAGAGGTCAAATATCTGTATTTGTCCTGTGTGAACTGAATGAGCTCAATCATTCTGAAATTCTGATAAATCTGAAATTCTGGCATGCGTGAAATTTGCCCACAGTGCACGTTCACATGCTTATCAAACTAGTAATTGTCAAAATCCCAGCCAATGACTGAACTTGTGAATTGATTGGCCTGCACAAAAGTCAATATTTTATTACCGCTGCAACAGAGACTTTAAAGCTATTCCAAAACTGTATTCTTCATTCTAGTCTGCAATGAAGGGGAAAAAAAACAATAAAAAACAAAATACAAAAAACCTCACACCCCAAAGCATGTGATTTAGTTCATTTTTACTCAAGAAAGATGTGAAATACTTGTTTCAATTTAGAAAGAGTATTAGCCTGAAGGAAGTCAATAAAACTGTTGACAACAGCTGAAGAATGTGAACAAGAAGCCCAGTCTTGTCTTATACCTGTAAACAGTATATTTCTCACCTACACAGCAATCATTATTTTAATATGTTTCATTTAAAAGTACTAGCCTTTTGATACTAGAACAGCTCTACAGTAAATCCAGCAGCTCTCAAATAAATTTGTACTCTCAGGGTAACCGCAGGTTTGACAGGTAAAATATCGAAGCTGAGATGTTAAAAATAAGATTTTTAGTATTAGTCCAAAAAAAAAAAAGGTCCTTTGAGATCACATGAGCATGTTTGAGAGTGGCTGTCCTTTGAGATCACATGAGCACGTTTGAGAGTGGCTGCCTTACAGAGTGGCTTCCCTACATGCCCCTTACAAACTCATATCCTAAGTTTTTAATATGCAATTTTTTGGGATGGGGAGGTGGCAAAGGTGCATTTAAAATTCAGAACAGGAACAATTTAGAACATACAAAACATCTCAAAACCTTAACTTTTGCAGTGTTAAGATAACTGTATAACTGAGAAAAGGAAAAATAAGAACTTGTAGAAACTCCCTTAGGTTATACATCTCAAGTATTGTAGCATCTAAACTGCATGACACATCTTGTTGCATGAGTACTTAGCACATGGCCTCGATATAGAGCCTGTCTCTTTGTGAGGATTATTAAAACTCATACGGAACCTATCCATCCTTCTGAGTATATTATCCTCCAAAAAGTTGTTGTTGAGCCAGGAAATCTGTCGGTGCTAGTCCTTTACTTCGCTTTTCTTGTGAAACAGAACAACCTCTCAAAGCACATTGAGAGCACTAAAGAGAGCAACTTTTACAAACATATTCTTCTTTTTGAAGCACTTTGACAGGATTAGCTTTTTATACACATATCTGTGCAGAAATTATTTTCCTACATAAATTCCAGTATCTAAAGGGCATGTAAATGTGCATGATCTAAATAGTCCATCAGATTTCTTTCTATTGGGACTGATGGAGTATGAGTGCTTTTAAGAGCAGAGCTTGGCATTCTACTTTCAGCACCTTTTCGTTTGTGTGAATTCAACACAAAAATATCAGGAACCCAGAAAGTTTTTTCTCTGATTTTGGTTTAATTTCTCAGTTTAGTAACTGGAAATCTTGTCTTTAAACTATTATTTTGTTGTTACTCCTCCTGTACTTTATGGAAATTATTTTTGAAAATTGCTTATGACTTCTTCAGAAGCATCCGAGGCTGCAAAAGAAGCCTCTCTCCATTAAAAAAAAAAAAAAAAAAATTACAGTTTTGCATGATCTGTACCTGTTATTTTAGTAGTATGATCAGGTTTCTAATAATTGCTTTTCTTTTTCAGGAAAGCATAGATTTGGGTGAGATCATGTTTTCCCTTTGTTATTTGCCTACTGCTGGAAGAATGACTTTGACAGTCATCAAATGTCGGAATCTCAAAGCAATGGATATAACTGGTGCATCAGGTGAATCTACTTTTTCAAAAAAGGCAGAGTCTATTCAGGAAGGGGATGAATAAGAGCTCCTTGGGTTTTGTGTGTCTGACATGGCTGTGGGATGGAAGTAGCAGAGAATGGATACAGACCCTCTTTAGATGGAGTGGCAGCCAGTGCATCTGTTAGGAATGGCTGTACCTTTCCTTTGCATTTGCAGCATGATGAAAGCAGTGTTTGCCAGGGTGACTCAAAGCTTTGCAACCTTTTACCTTAGCAGTATAACATTCCTACCACAAATATTGTTCTTATGCTACCCACTTGAATGGTTTGAGTCCTAATGCATGCACTGATTATCTGTTACTCAGATCCGTACGTCAAAGTGTCGCTGATGTGCGAGGGACGGAGGCTGAAGAAGCGGAAAACAACCACAAAGAAGAACACGCTGAATCCCGTTTATAATGAGGCCATCATCTTTGATATCCCTCCAGAGAACGTGGACCAGGTCAGCCTCTCCATTGCAGTGATGGATTATGACAGGTAAGCACAGTTCACTTTCTGACCATTGAGACAATTCCTGATCACTGCAAGCAGCTGCTTTCTGCCTCAAGCTTACAGGAAGCTTCAGTGTCACGAACGCTAAAACCTTGGGGCCTTTTCATGAAGCAGTTTAAAGCTTCCACACCTCTTAGAGCGCATGGCATTTTATCTGTGTCATAAATGACTAAGATGAGGAAAAAATATGGCTCAATTTTCTTTCAGGCCACTTAGGCCTGATACACATTCCTGTCCATTTCTGGGGACTGGACTATGTACAAACTTTATAAACCACATATGTCTTTGAGATTAAGAAAGTCCCTCACACCTCTAATTTCTATTTAAATAGCAGGTATTTGAAACTAAAGAAAATTTCAATTACTAAAAAAGAATTAAATGCTAACTATGTCATTGAACTAAGTTGTAATTATTTCTTCAGTTGATTCAGTAAAATAACCTTTCAATATGCAATCTTCAATAGGTAACCTTTGGGTTCAGCCCTCACTGATAAGATGTCTTAGGCTAATTATCTATGGCTTCACTGAGAACCGACAGGAAGAGACTCCTGCTTAGAGTGGCTCAAGGACTACAGGTTGATCAAAACTGACAGAACCCTGCCCAAGCAAGTCTGTTTCATTCAAGTGCTGTTAGTAATGAGCTCTTGAGATTGCAGGGCAAATAAACAGTGAAAGTCCAATTTAGTAACATCACCCTTCAGATTGTTTCCCTTGCCATCAGATTTCTGGTTGTTCTCCAAGTTCTGCCAGGAAGACTTTCTCAGTCAGACGTGAGAGCGGCACCATGGTGCCATTAGCAGGGAAGGAGCACAGCAGCTTGCACATGTTCAGTCCTCCTCAGCTTCTCCCTTCCCAGCACTTGCTAAGGGGAAATTGGAAAGCATTATCCTAAGGTCAAGGTACAGAAACTTTCTGATGTTTCTCAACCATTTTATGGCTCTGTGAGGAGCACAAAGTATTGAGGTATAGCCTATGACTCTTACCTTTCACATTTTTGACTGAACTTCAAAAGATCACAATAGCTAGAGCTAAGAAATAGTTTATTAAAATATCTCTGAAGCATTTGCATCAGGAAAATGTATTCCCCACCATTTTTCTTCACTTTCCTCTCTCACAAAATTCAAGAATGTTTTCCTTCAGATAACTTTGTGTATTATGATCCTTTTCTGTCCTTGTGTCTTTTGGGTTGTAACCTTTTAATGGCAAGGATTATGTTTTCATTGCTATTTTTATAGCTGCTAGAAGCACTCTGGTAGTGGCTAGAGGTTTTTGATGTTACCATTACAGAATTTAATTTTACCATACTATCATTAAAACTAATATCTGTAATAAATGATGTGAAAACTTTGGCCATGTACTCTGTGCCACACTAAGCCAGTAAACAGAATTGTATATCAGATGTTATTAAAACTATTTTTTATTAAAAATAAATTCCTTTTCACTCTACAATTCTCAGAGTAGGGCACAATGAGGTCATTGGAGTATGCCGGACAGGAATTGACGCCGAAGGCCTTGGAAGAGATCATTGGAATGAAATGCTGGCTTACCCACGTAAACCAATAACTCACTGGCACCCGCTAGTAGAGGTAAGAAGTAGCAAAATTTTCTCATTGATATTGAAGGATTTTGCCCCTCATATTTATGGGCTTCTGAGAATCATGAAAATTAGTGCAGCACCTATAGATCAGATAGAAGATCATTAGCACAGCCTAAATCTAATTGCATGTGTTTATCTGTAATTTAAAAGGGCCAGTTCAACAGTTTCCATGATGCTCTGATGGCATTGTAAGATTACATTTAGATGCTTAAAATTCCAGAGATTTTGATAAAGAGCTTACAGCTACTTAGAAGAGATCATTTGCAAAAATTTCAAAAGCAATCATTTCCTATTCAAAAATCTTTAGCATAAGCTGCTGTTGCTAAAACATTAATCTGTAACTGGCCTGCAAATTAGGCTAAATTGTGGCAACATATGAGCAGCTCCCTCCGGAGTTATTCAACAGATGCTTACTGGAGCTTTTTCGAAAGTAGGGATGATTATATTTACAAGTCCCTGGGCTTGGACTCCCTCTGTGATCTGCTGTGACCACACATTGCTGGTGTTCTGTACACAAAATCCTCACAGCTCTGGACTCAGAAAGATACATATTGAAGCCTTAGGAAGCAGCGGGGCACTGTTTAGCCCATCACAAAAGCAATCTGTAGAAAAATGAGCTGCTGCCTGAGGCCATGTGATTCCCCCACTCTGGAGCACATGGCTGCACAACATGTCCTGTTAGACGTGGCAAAAGCGTAATATCAAGGCTTCAGTAAACCACCAAGAAATGTGTGGGGGCAAGGAAACTGCGTCAAGGCAGCAGAGAAGTGTCTTTTAGAGGTTCATAGCTCTGTCTGGTTTATGTAAATTAGAAGACAGGGTTACAACACCTTTTGGTGAAATAAACCCATTTCTGTGAAATTAGTCAGAGGCATTTTTAGAAGGACACTTCAGAAAATTTCTTTCCATTATAGTTCTTCTGGAGACTTTCATCCAGAGACTAGAAAGGGTCTGGATGTGATCTGGATTCTTTTTTGAGAGAGTCTCTCATCCTCTGAAATGAGCATGATGCACAGCCAGACGTGATGACATTTGTAAAAATAACACTTTTCTTGCAGCTACCTGGCCGAGCAACCAGTTTTGATAGCCAGGGATCCTGTTCCTCACCCAAACCACCGCTTACGCCCTAGGGAGCCCGAATGGATCCATCATGCTCAGTGTCCAAAACTCCCCTGTAGCCACATCTACATCAACAGAAGGTTTGGCTTCCACAGATGAACTGTATCCATATTTTTTTATCAAAATACATCTTTCCTATTCTAAGTCTTATATGAAAGTTTATAATAATTTGTTAAAGTGTGAATGAAGTTGACTCAAGTCAAATATAACCCTTCCTTGTGCAAATTTATTAACCTGTTTTATCTCTGGTATATATCCAGTGTCATATCCAAGCAGTGGTTTGATGGGGCCTGTATCTTTTCACAGGCAAGGAACCAGAAAAAAAGATTCCCTTAAGTAATTCAAAACTACTGCACCTTCTAACACCTAATTCTTCGGAGGAAGAGCAAATAGTCATATACAGCTCATGTAGTAAATTCCTTATAAATTGCACTAAATCTTCTGTGACTTTGCAAGATAGCACTTCAAACTGAATGTTGCATGTAAAAAACCAACTGTTGTCATGTTTTGAGTATCTGGAAAGTCAGTTCATTCCTTGGGCAGGGAGGAAGGGCTGATTTAAAGCCCTCTGGAGCCAATGAGGCAGATCTACTGACTTCAGGGTGCTTTAGGTCCAGCCCTTCTGAAACAGGTATGAGAACTGGACCTATGCAGTTATAACCTTCCAGCACTCATGATGACAGCTGCATCTCTACACAAATCAAACTGCAGAGGAGAGAATGCTCAGAAGTAAAGGAATTGATTTAATGTCATTTATCTGTTCACAAAATTGACCAAATATTGCAGTTACCCACAACATTTTTGTGATTCTTGATTTAATGTGACAGACAGATTTCTTTGAAATTATTTTGACTGAGTGCACAGCACACATAGAATTTAGTTTCTGGTTGCTGGCTGGATGCCTCTTGACACATATGCTAAATAAGAATTTGAGATGTGTTTTCTGTCAGTCTATGGACAGAGAAATCAAAATGTGACTATTTTACAAGCAAGTAAACTAATTTATTAGACTACACAGTGAGAGCAAATGAAAAAAATCTATTGGCTGTAGTCAGATACTTTAAAAACTAGAAGAGAACTACATATTATTTTGTGGATTTATCTCCAAACACTGCAGTTTACCTCAATCAGATAAATCAGATAGTCACTTTCTTTTTTTCCTCTTGTCTTTTCTTTCTTTCTGTGAAGAATGTAGCACAGACAGCACAGCATGGTTGGGTCTGAGGTTTTGAAAGCTGGACTGTAATTAGAAAAACTTGGGTGGTAGCACCTTTTGTATCTTTGCAATATATAAAGAAAACAGAGGAGACTGTTTTCCAAAACAGAATCTTTACAGAAGTGCCATGCAGGAGAAAATCTACAAATGAAGATTGATTTATGACAATGAAAGAAATTTTGATAATTAATTTGGTATGAAATTAAAAGGTTGTTTTGGAAAACTTCTGAAGAACCATTTTGAGTTGGTTTAGCCTAGCTGACATGTTCCTGAAGATCCAGTCCCTCCATGCCACTGACTAATCTCTAAGACAGTCAAAAATACCTTGAAGTGTCTTAAACTGCTCCAGAAAAGCTAGCAGGGCTGGTCTTAACATTGCAGGTGTATCTAAGACAAAAAAGGAAGCATGTTTTATACCTTGCCTCCTGTGCCTATGAACAGAGCAAGCAAGGAAATAAATATAAAAATCGATCTCTGAGACAGTCATTAGAAATAAGGGGGGGGAAAGAAAATAAAAGAAGGAAAAAAGGGATAAAAAGAAAAGGCTCCAGCCCAAGTTTTTGAATGCCTGTTTCAGGTTGTTATTCATGGCCTCTAGGTAGAAATGGTTTCTCCCAGAGAGGGCTGGTAGTGCTGAACACTGATCCTCCCTGCTTAAGATTGTATTTTCATCACCATAAATATGGAGCAGCCTTGCAGAATTTCATTCCTCCTTTTGCTCTGGATGAGTAATTTGTTTTAATAGGAGAACAAACTCTCCTCTCTGAGGTTTTTTCCCTCCCATCTTTGTTATCCTAACAAAATTCTGTGGCCTAGATAATTTTCAACATGATTTCTGCAAGGCTGATACAGAAACAGATATATATATTTATATATATATATATGGAGATTGAAAAACTATTTTATGTATACATTTATCTTAATATAAATTATATCAACAGTGGCCTTTGTGGCCTCAAAAATAGTTTTTGTATTGTGGTACTGTAACAGTTAATTAAATATTCGTTGCACTTTTTTGCACCTAATATCCAAAAAGCGAACAAATTCACGATCAAATGTAGCATAAGTGTTCAGCAATGAGCAACATATTTTTACCTATTTTACTGTTCTCTGACTATCCTGTGTGTTTCATCATAGGTAGTAAGGTATTTCAAGATTCATTTTCTTAAATCTTCATTGTTGTCAAATGCCAAAGGCTCAGTTTGTGCCCCCTTGTCTTGTTATTTTTGGTATTGTCAATAACAACAGTGAATGACTTCTTGATTGATGGGTGCTATGCATCTAGGAGAAATCAGGCTGCAAGATCATCTGGACATCTATCTTCAAAAATGATCCCTTAAGTAATTATCTTTATTCCCTTAGCAGTGATTAATAGAATTAGTGAAAAAAATATTTTTTTCCCCATTGTTTCCTTAGCCATCTCAAAAGACAGGATAGGTACTTAGCTTAACCCATCCATTGGCTTTAGAGCCTTTTCACAAGTTACTCCCAGTGACATCACTGAAGCACCAAGGAAGAGCTTAGCACAGTTTAAGTCAAGGAATATGTTGCTCGATGTATATCATTATGAAGGAATTTTAAATATTTTAATTTGGAAATTTGGAGAAGCTGCAAGTTCCCTACTCCCATCCAGATTTTTTTTTTTTTCTGCTTATCCACATTTCTTCTATATCTCATGCATTACCCTAATTTAGGAAAAAAACAAATGTGGCAAAAGGCTGGTTTAAAATATCTTGTAGAACTTTTACAATAGTTAGAAAATCTTCTTTTCCTAAAGGCCTGAGCTATTTTGCTTGAAGCAGTTTACTGGAAAATGCACCAGTACTTAATAAGAATTGTATTGCAGGGTTTCACACTGCACAGGTGAGCACAAGCTCACAAAGATTCAGGTCATGTACAGCACTCCACGATCTCCGCTTTGGATCCCAGCATTTTACAGTTCTGGTGACATGGCCCCTCCCCTTGCCCTGCCAGAAAACAACCAGCTCTTTCCTCATCATCTTTTGTCTATGCGACTTAGGAATATGAATATTGGTCAGAGATAAAGTGGCCAGCAACTTCCCCTGCAAAATTTCTTCTTCAATAAATGCAATTCTTTGGACTACTTATGTTTAAGTAACAAAATTGTATATTTCTCTTAAAGAATCACCACCACCTCCAATATTTTTGAAGAATATATCAAGCTACCAATAAATGTTTTCATTGGGTTGATTTTTTTCAAGGGAAAAAGCAATTACCTAGTTTCTTTCTGTGGATGCATTTTTGGAGCAATATTAAGAAAAAGTTTAGTTAAAAGATTCATTTGATCCATCCTTTTCTCCTCTTTCTTGGCTTTTTAATTGGATTCAATGTAATCCTTTTAAAAATTTTTAACATGATGATGTATAACATATACATGATAGTCTAGTTACAAGATTATTTTGCTATCTCTTTTTTATAAATTTTTATATGTAGTAGCTTTTTATTATACTCCATTAATTTTACAGGCTTTATACATCTGAAATCATTTGTCTGTATTTTTTGGGTGAGCAAACATTCAAAAGAATGGTATTTCAGAACTCAGTAATAGAATTCTTCTGCTGAAAATATAATATTGTTCAGAAATCCATAAATGTGCCTGCCAAATTTGAAAATCACCTTATTTGAGCATGCAAAAACCTAGGTTTGCACATACAAGTATTTGCACTTGCTGGATGTACAATCAATAGAACAGAACACCCACACCTAATCAGAAATACATTTCAGTTCATGATAAACGTCTGACAAATGTGCATTGAGTGGCAGTTCCTTGACCTGAAAAGTTCATATGAAATTATTTCTACAAATGAACATGCTTGAAAATTTGGTAGGTGTTAAGATATGGTGTATATGTTAATCAGACAGTGAGGCGACTTTTGGACAAAGCTCATGTAATACGTGTTGGACCATCCAAAATATGGATAAAATATACCAAATCTATGGGAAATACTAATGCAGATTTTGATGGGACATTTTCTCTCTCATTCACACCACAGCAGAGATTCAGTTTAACTCAAGATTCACTAATTTAGCTTCTGAGTCTTGCCAGTCTAAACTGAGCTCTCTGAAAACAGCTAAGTTATGGCACAGAGCATTCCCAGAGCTAGGAAAGATGAAGCAAAATGTGGCAGTAGACACAAAGCTGTTCCATGCAAATGCCCTGAAATGGAAACCTTCCCTCTGTAACAGATTCCAACAGTTTTACCACTTGTCCTTTCTTTCTCTGCTGTAAAATGGGACAAAAGAAGCATGTTCCTGAAGAAGAATCAGCATTAAGCATAGGAGTTAATTGAGGTCTGATCACAGCCATTTGCCTTTTCCAAGGCAAAAACTACATTTACTTCTAAAAGTATCTTTCGTTTACTCATCTAAATGAATAAATATCTCCTGCACAAGGCACTTTTCCTTAACCCTGGAAAACGGCAGTTTTTTAACAGCATGAAGGAAACCAGGAGCTAGAAATCTGAGAGAAAGTGAAGCTGCCGGTGGGATTTGAATTTCACAGGGCAATCTGGTCAGGAAAATGGAACTAACACCTTCAGTCTTGTGCTGAGTGCTAAGGGATGCTTGGTGGTAGCAGGTGCTCAGGGCAGTGATTTGATGTTTTATCTGATAGCACCTCTACAATGTTGCTGTTGCTGGGAAACCTCTTTACAGGCTCAGAGAGCAGAATGCCTCTGCTATTGCCATGTGAATTCTTTTCCACCCAAGTGTAGACTGTGATTCTTGTGTTCCATGGGGCTCAGTCCCCTGGAAGGGCACAAAGCACGTTAAATTTGCAGAACAGGAAAAAACAATTTGGTACTGTGCCATCATGGGGACTAGTCACTTTGCTGGTATTAAAGACAAGTGTTTGTGCCTTGCTGATCGAGGGAGAACGTTTCTTACAGCACTCTGTAGCTCAGCCTGTGTTGCTGAGACATGCTGATGCTATTGAAGATCCTCAGTACCAACATTGTCAAAATATAACTAATACATATAAATACGGGTTATATAGGTTGCCAGAACACCAAAGCTCCCTCCTGTGGAAAAGGAATGATGACTGCCTGAAAAATAAATCAAGGCAGTATGTTCTGGAAGTTGGACCTGCTGGAAGTCACAGAGCTGCTGTGATGAAAGTGGAGCTGCTCTGTAATAATTTATGAATACAATATGTTGAGTTGACTATTGGTCCTGAACTAGGTGAGTTCAATAAATTTACTTTAGGAGAAAAAACGTTGGACAGGGGAGTGTCTCTCAGGAGCAAATGAGTTGTATGAAATGTTAATGTCCACCTTGGTGGCCCGGGAGAGTCTGCTGATGCTGTAGCCAGTCTGAAAAATGCATCTCATCTAAAATGGAGAAATCCCAAGCAGGCATAGGGGGAAAGGCACAGGAAAGATCAAAAGATAATTCAGAGCATACAAGATTTATGTCTGAGCAGGCTGGGGATGCAAGCTGGTACTGTAGTTCACAGAGAAAATAGGTGTGGTTGCTCTCCCATGAATGGGTGGGAAAGCTTGAGACAGGACAAATATGCATATAGGCTGTTATTTTCAATTCCATTTATTTGAAATATTTAAGTTTGCGTATTTAAGATTAAATATTTAAATACCGTTCTATTTTTAATGGAGTATTCACAGACTCTCTGAAAGAAAAGTTGTACATCCATTCAGACTGCCTGGGTTGGCACAATTAAGACAGGCACAGTGTCCCAAAGCCCAGCAAAAATTAAAGAATTGTGAAATTCTGCCTCTCCCCTGGAGAAGTGAAGTCAGGAAGCCTGACACAAAAAAAGAACTGAAGACAGACCAAGGAAAAGATGAGAGCACAGTTATTTCATCACTGCTTCAAAGTCATTGGTTAGAAAAGGGTGCCAGAAACATGCAGTAACCTACCTCTTTTACAATTTTCCTCTCCTTCAAAATACAAGTATATAAGTGTTTCTGAGAGATTGCTTTTAAACAGTTTAGGATGTTTTCATACCTTAAAAATTCGACACCCTGAAGTAAAGTAAATCCATCCATGTATCTACCCATGAGTAAAATAAAATAAAATTTAAACAAGAGTGGGGAGTAAAAACTTTCTGTACAATAAATAAAGGTCTAGAACATGCTAAAAATTGCTTTCCTGTGTTGAATAATGGTATAGATTTTTTTTTAACCTTGGGACCTCTTAGTTTAAAAAGGAAAGATTATGATACTGATTGTAAAGCAATATTTTACTGCAGGTATAGGATTCCTAGTTGTCTGACCCTGTGTGATTTTAAATATCAGAAATGTTCCAACAAATATTTGTCAACATCACAGATAGGAATTTTAGGCACTTAAGATTAGCATTGACAAAAAGGAATATGAGTTTTTTTGGGACACTTTCTAGGTTAATTTCAGGAGAAGTCGTAGGCTGTTGGATATTTTTGTGAGGCAGATACATTTCCATAAAAATAGTCTGCAAGAGGAGAGAGAAAAAGGGTCGAGTTGCTTTTTTTCAATATGCTATGAGTTGAGAATGATAGTAGGATCAGAAGTGAAGAGGACTGAACAAAAAGATATTTAAAATCTCTTATGACATCCGCGCCATAACAGAAGACAAGAGAGGAGGGGAAAAGCCTATAGAGTATGAAGAAAGCCCTCTGGAAAACTAAAAAACCAGACAGATAAACAAACCCCCACCACCACCACCATCACCAAAGAAGCAAAAAAATCTGTTAAAAGGAAAAGTGGAAAGTATAAAAAGGGGTTGAATAGTCTTTTCAATAGAGAAAAATGTATGTGTAACAAATACTTCCAAATAGAAAGGGATTTTTGACGTGATTCTCCCACCTCATATCTTGTATGGCCATTTGCCAGCTCATGAGGGTAGTGGGAGCCAATTTCAAAACCTAAGTCTGGTCTTCAAATAAAGACAATCCTCTGCCCCACAGATCCTGCTCTCAGAGGATTCACAGTGCAAAGAGCTCATGGCATATCCTATCCCCCTGGTCTTTTTCTTGCCGGACAATTGAGGCAAAAAAAGAACACTTCCCACATGTGCTCAGACATGTGGATGGATGCTGGATGGCCTCCTGGATGCTGAAATGGCCTCCTATTTATTTGCACCTGACGTAGGTTGGAAGATTTCCAACAGGTGAAAAAAAATTTTATATATTGTCACCTCTTCACATTATCAAAACTCCTGTCAAGAAAATTAATCCACAAACATCAGAGGTTTATGTCCAAGAAGGAGACAGAGAAGTCCTTTTACTTCACTCAAATAAAGGAAGAAGCCATGGGGCATTCCCCTGGGGTCTCTCAAATTTTTGGAGGATGCAGCCTCCTCTTTTATCCTAATTTCCCAGCCACACTTCCCTTCTCTCTTTCCCCATTGGCTGAGGTACTTGAGAGGTACAGACTTCCCGATACACCTGATACTGAAGATTCCCCTCTAATGTATAACCCTCCCTTTTCATTTTTAATTCTTACCAAATTTAGCACTTTCCCCCATTGTTTCTTTCATCTTTCAATGTCTGATTTCATTTGTCAGCAAACTTAAAGTTTATTTGTAAAAGCAAATATCTTTTTCCATTCATCAATCAGTGGAATCCTTCCCATTGTTTCTTTTATCTCTCAGTCCTAGTTTTATTTACCAGCAGATCCACAGTTTGTTTGTAAAGACAAATCCGCTATTCCTCTCACTCCTGACAAAGAGTGCTTGAATAACCAATAGGAAACAGCTCTGGAAATGCTGCTGTGGTACACAAGGTACTGGTTTTGTTCTCAAGTCAAGCCTCAACTAATACCACAAAATGGTGGACAAGTCATTGGGCTGCTGCAGGTGTTAATTCTCTGATATCTCAAAAATACGAAGTCATAATTATGGTTTATTTCTCCCTTAATATCCCACAGGTCTTTGTGTATGAATAGGGTCCTGGAATTGAGGTTTCAGGCAAAATCTGTCTCCTCCTGTTCACGGAGGTTCAGCTGAATAATGAATTCTTATTCATTTGTCTCAGATTGTCACATAGTAGTGGGTGTACTGTGAATGTTTCACCCTGGGAGTGGCTGTCTCTTATTAAAAATCAGAGTGATCAATGGAGGACCATTACTTCCCTCACCATGGTTTTCTGCAGCTTAATTGTGTAATACTAGTTATGAGGGAAATGACTGCATAGCTGAACAAGACAGAGAATTGCCAGCTGTAATTATTTTTGTCAAATGGGTATGTGTGGATGGGTATGTCTTTCTTCTTCTTATAAATGGAGACTTGGCTACCACAGAAAATGCAAAAGGAGATTTTGTGTACTCTCCAAAGAGCACGTCACACTCTTACATCTATTCCTTTCAAGCTTCATGTATTATAAGTGTTTAATGATCTTAATTATCCTATAGCACAAAATCTGATTAATTTATTTAAACCTACAACCTTTTCAGCTCTTAGTCCACACAGGTAACTTTGGGCTATGGAATCAGAATCACTAATGAGAAAGTATAGCTTTATCTTAGCCAGCAGCCAAAATCTGCACAGCTGGAGCTTTTCTGTATTCCTCTGAAAGGGAGCCTGGCACTATTGCACTTTAGCTACTTGCCAGTAGCAGACAAAAAATTGTAGGTCACAGCCAGGTTTCAGAGAAGCATTGAGGATTAACCCCTCAAATCCTGGCTCTTATTCTGCCTCCCCTCCAGGCACAGGGCAGTCTATCAAGTTGAAGAGCAGTCCTACCCAAAAAGCAACTGATGATGAGCAATCTGTGCTGAGAAAAGAGATTTCATTCAAATTATGCCAACATGGCTTTTACATTTTTCTTTCCTTTTTTCTCATGTACTGTTGTTAAAAATTGACTTTTTCTCAAGACAGAATATTCTAATTTAATCTCTAGCAGGGCAAAAAAGTGGTACTAAAGTACCAATTTATTCATGCACTGAAATTAATACTGATGCAAAAAAAAAAAAAAAATAAAAGCCTTTCAGCAAAAAATATCTGTGGCAGCAAAATATAAAGATGCTGGCAAAAAGGCATTTTCCTTTATATGCTACTTTTTCTGAGTAGAATTTGAATATTCCACCTCCTTTTTTGGGTTATCTCAAAAAAACCCACAAAACGGTAGATTTATCTAATGTAGTTTAAATAGTTATTGGAATAATATAGCACAATAAAAGTGACCCATTTCAGCCTCTTTAATCTTAATGTGTATTAACACATTAAGATTTCATTTCTATATTTTGCATTGCTAAAAATTCTATTTATCACCCTATTCCAAATATACAAGTATTCCAGCGTGCTTTCAAAAGGAGCTTTCTTTTGAGCTAATCACTTGCTAATTTATATGCCAATAGTTGTTGTATTAATTAAAATGATATTATTTCTTAATATAATGAAAATAGACCAAATAGAACAAAGTCACTCTATAGATCTTTTTAATATGTAATTTCCTCTGAAAGCACTCTGTACTTGGCCAGCCCAACACTGAAATTCAGCAGGACCACTGCTGCTTATCTCAGTGCACTCCGCATCAGGTTACATGTGAGGATGTGTCATAGCATCTTATGAAATGATCCCAGTCTCAAGGAAAGCAGAATGATTTCTCTTACATCCACCATGGATTTTTGTCACTTTCTGACAGCTCAGACTATATTAGAAGTCTTCAGCACATCTCTGGGGTATGAGCTATTATTGCAAATGCTGATTTTACTAATACTGGTAGGAAAGATGAGCCTCAGCTGCCTGACTTGGTAAATAAAAATGTCTGGTGTATGTAGTCAGACATGGAGGTGATGTGTTTTTACATATTTTTCCTTTCTAATGGTGGCCTGCAGGTTTTCACAAAATGCCATTTTGTTTTGAAGCTCAGAGGGTGTGTGTATAGACTAAACCTTTGATATGGAATTTTTAGATAGTCCTGTTGCACATCGGATATAAAGCACTTCTTTTCAGTCTATATTTCTATAGAAAAAATATTGAACAAAGTTTAATTTTGTTAAATAAATAGAAAACTATTTCTCAATAGAAGGAAAAAGCCTAGATATATATTTAGTATTGTTCCTTGTTTCTTTTTCTTCCAAGTGTAGGTCTAAATTCTTTCTGTGCTTCTCTATTTAGGTTTCTGTAGGATATGTTGGACTTAAATGCACATGTCTAAGGATGGGATATGGGGTTTTTTATATCCTACAAGTTGATGAGCTGGCATCCTGATTTGGAGAGGCACTTCTGACTTGTGCTTTCTCCACTTTCTGGGGGAGATCACGAGGGTGCCTGTTTAGAAAGCCATGTGAAATATTGTGTTAGCTCTGATCTGTAAACTCAGCTCCCTCCATGGCAGTACAGCCCTGCTGGCTGGGATGGGAGCAGGCAGAGCTGAATGGCAGCTCCTCCTTGCCCTGCTCTGCCCAGCACCCACCACCTCGGGCAGCAGGAGTGCAGCACCAGCTCCTCTGAACCATCCAGGTGCTCCTCCAGCCACCAATCACAAGGGAGTCCCAAAAACCTTCTCCTTCCTTTCCATGAGCTTGTAGTTCATGCTGCGTTTGAGCTGACCGGCTTCAGTGCGCTCCTTGTGAGAACTGAAGCGGGGAGAGGAGAACAGAACTCAGCCACATCTCTGCTCCAGCACAGATCATCATGTTTTCCTGGTATATAGTTGTTTGTGGGGAAGGCATTCTCCAGAGTGTATGCTTTAAAAGGTAGGAAGTTAAAATGGAGTTTCTGGCCACAGGAAATATTGACAGCTAAAAAAAAAAATCCACTTAGTATTTAAACATTTAATATCTTGATATCTTAAACGAAAGTACCCAACACAACGTCTGTCAGGATTTGCTGTGACAGTGAGGGCTCTGGATTAGGCCCTAACTGGCCCAAACTCTAACAGAACTCCCTGCCTTTAAAACAATCTTTATGGTTACAGCAGAAATGTTGCCAAGTCTATGTAGCTTACAAAGAACTGCAGAGTTCTTCTAACATTTTGTCTCTTCTTGCTATGTGGTGTTGGCTGACCAAGATCTACTATTAAATACCTGACTGTTTTAGTACCCGTTATTCAGTGTTCATGATGTGACTTTTTAAATGAAGTCTGTGATTTGATACCTAGACATTGTTCAAGTCAATATCCTTGGCTTCTGCATTATAGAGACAAGAAAACAAAACTTTTTGAACTTGTGTTACTGGCTTTTTGTATGCGCTAAATGGCCATTTGTGAAACTTGACAACATAAATTGTACTACTGATAGTAAATGGGTTTTTTTGCACTAGCCTTTGGGAGCTGTAGCACATTTCAGTATTTTTACAATGTATTCTCTAGAAAGTGTGAATCTATTTGTCAGTTCTGAAAAAAATATGTAACAATGAAACCTCAAAAAATGTTATGAAGTGTACAGTTTGTGATAATTTTATATTTAAAAAAGACAAGAAAAATCAAAGAGTTCATTTGAAATAATTTTATTCTAATTGTTTCATATGTATTTTGAACAAGAAATAAAGTGATTAAAATTATTCACTTTTTTTCTGTCGTTTTTAAAAAAGAACAATTTTCAAAGGTAAATAAAGACCCGTGGATTACAATGTCCCCAAGCTGAGCAGCTCTATGTATATCCAAGGGCTTTTCTTCTCACAAACTTGTTACTTTAAAATTCTACACTCTGAAGAAGCAAAGGATACTTTTGCCACCAGATTTGCAAGGTTCAAGCAAGAATGCCCTTGAGTGAAAACAATTAAATCAAGCGGTTCCATTATTACTCTGTGTAATTCTTTTCACATTATCTTCCATTTCCTGCTATGATATTGTTTGCTTTAATCTTCAAACTCATTAGACCATGTTTTAAATAATGGATTAACTATTCAATTTCATATTTTTAAAGTATTTAAGAATATTGAAGTATGTCACAAATGAGACACAAGCCTAATTTCCATTTTCCTTTTTTCTAGTTGCACAATCGTACAGATCAAACAGACAAGAACTTTGCCACCGTTAAATTGAAGAAAATTGAATAGGCCAGATTTGAATAGGATTTATGTTTAAACTGAATTGGTCATAATGACAACACCTTATGCAGCAATGATGATCCAGCATAGACAGGTTCAAGCACGGCAGATCTTTGCTGGCACTTACAAGGACAGTTTAAAGAGGAAAACTAAGCTGCAGGTGTTGAGTATCAGCTGGATGTGATCTATTTCCATTCTACCAGATGCTTAAGGTCCATATTACACTGAGGGAAAAAGCAGCATACAAGCAATTGATCTTTGACAGAGTTATGTAATTCTCCTAAAGAGAAACTAGATATATATATATATCTGAGGTTCCCATCCTGTTTCTGATCTCTAATGGTTGAACACTGATTTATCCCAAGTCAAGTTTTTTGCTAAGATATTAAATTCAATTCTGTTCTCTGTTTCAATTCAAAAACTTGGTCCATATCTGTGATTGAAAGATTCTGTTTCCTTTGGAAAACTGCTTGTCTTTGTCTAGCAAGGGTAATGTCATTCCAGTTTACCACTACCTTTAATTTTAATATTCTCTCTCTCACATATAAAATACTGATTTTCATTAGAGTGGTGGGTCTGAGGGTTATGAATATTATAGTTTATTTTGAAAACTTGTCTGTAATTCACGTAGAAGCAAACATGATCATCTTTAAGATTTCACTGCAGTTTGTGAAATATAATTTCTGCATGAAGTCCTAATCCTTTTGCTTCAGTCACTCCTAAATATATCTTCATTCCTTACAATAATGAAATCTACTAGCCCACAGAGGAGCTGAACAATGTGCGGCTTAAAATGGTGCAAGAACCAGAAGCAAGCAGATTTGTGAGGAAGAGAGGAGAAGAAAGAATGGCAAACAAAGCTCCGTAAAAAGTACGCATGATAAAATCTTGCAAATTATTGAGTATTCTTGTACACATAGAAGAGCACAAAATGTACCATACCTTTAAAAATGATGCAGAGAAAATCAGGGATCAGAAGTGAATCCAAATTACCCATCTTCTAGACCACAAAACTCCCATTCCTCTACTTGGATTTGTATTTTGCATGGAATATGTGAGATTCTCCCAAAGGAAAAGCTGTGATGCATAAGAAGGGAGAAAATTATTTAAAAATATATGTGTAGTAACCTCTTATCCTGCTAAAACATATTGGTTCAGATAAGGAGACAGAAATATGATTGTCACACAATATTGTTTACTACGTCATTCTGAAAGTTGAATAAATGCCCTACTGCTGCTACCGCTGTAGATAACAGAACCTGTTTTTTAACTCAGAAGACAGACAAAAATATTTTCAGAACAAAAGGTCCTGAATGAACTCCCTCCTCTGTGCTGCTTGGATGCAGCCCAATGCTGGTTACAGTAATACAAAACATTGTTTTAAAAGCCCAAACTCTGTGGCATAATAAAGACAGAAATCTTTATCACTTGTCACATTCTGAAAAGTGACATTCTGGGAGCAGCGCAAGTGCTCTGATTTGCACATGCATTGATTTTGCTTAACATACCCACTGTGCTTAAATTGATCTATTACTCTCCCCTTTGGAATTTTAAAATGCAGCAATCACAACCTAAACTCTTCTGCAGAAGTGATGAGCATCCTCACTTACACTCAGGTGTTTTTTTTGCCTTCTCCAGAACATATTTTATGTCCTCAGCCTTCAAAAAATAGCAATTCTCCTTATGTCTGTATTATACATCCCATGGAGTGCATTTCCAGTTGAGGTGACCAGCCACAGTTACTCATTTTAATTTATTTCCTAGCTGTTCTGTATAAATTCTCTTTGCTCTAGTGCTGTTTCTCAAGAAAAATGGTCATCACACTTGCCTTACTCCAAAGAGTGAGACTGATAACAGTTCATGTCCCAACTCTAACATAATTTCAAGCCCAGAGCACTTGAGGATCAAAACTGGAGTGACTGAAGAAGATTTTCTGTGAGGTTTTCTGTTATGACATGCTCACTGAGATTCAAGAACCAAGTCAATATCTTGCATAATACTTTGCATATTAAATGCTATATGTGATGTTATATAAAAATAAAGTATTTGTAAAGTCCTAACAATAGTGGGGTTGTGCAGACATGTTTTACGCAGAATTGATAGTGTTTTGTTGAATATTAATTTTGTCAGTATTACAAAATAATATTGAAATACAATAATGGTTTTGTATTTAATTATAGACAAAACTTACAGAATGGAATTTACATTTGGGAACTCTTGACTTTTCAACTCTTTAATTCTGAGCTCTGAGCCCATTAAGTCCACAAAGAATCTGCCTAATATGTTTGTCTGGCCTTTAGCCTTGATCTTTAGAATGTATTTGCTAAATCCATCTGGTTAAAACCAAGTCATAACTATGAGTTTTGAACATCTCTAAATCATATAGTCATTTAACAGTTTTTGTTAAGGAAACATGCTACTCAAAATCCCTGTGATATCAAGTCTGAAGCAAGCTGGATAACCATCCTAGGCACCCAGCACCTTCCTCATCATTAACAAATTACAGCCAAACAAAGAAGTACCCATGCCCATGTTCTTAAGGTCAGGGGCCTGGCCAGCACAGCAGCAACCTCACAAACCTGGAAGGCATCCAGAGGGACAGCATCAAGAAATTCTTTGCTTTTCTGTTGTAGCTTGTGCCTCTGACTTCAATATGCTGAGGTTCAGACAATGCCAGGTCTTCCACCTGCTAAGGTGGGCATAGGAAACACCTGGCTGGAGAGCATCACCTCCAGGCAGCACACTAGGACAGGGAATCAACTGGCCTCTTCACTGGAAGAAGCTGGAGCAAAGCTTTAGTTAGGAGTTGTAGCCATTGGCTAAAAGTTGAAAGTTGGTGTTCATGGAAATGTAAGTCTATTTTTGATTCCTTAAACTTTATTCCTAAACTACTGATCAGTTCTTTCTTTATTCCCAAAACCTGATAAAATAAAATCAATCCACTAAGGTTAAAGGTTGGGAACTGAACCTGTCACATAAGCATGAAATAGTGGCAAGCATCAGAAGAACCATTTGCTTATCTTCTTCCCAAGCTCCATGAAATCACTTTTGTATTCAAAACAACTGTCCACTGCAATAATACAAGGGATCATTCTCGTTGTCTCACAAATATTTTCATTGGCAGCAGAAACTGAGTCATGTGCCCAAGCTGTGGCACAAAGGCTCTTCATGAGCTCAGCATAACCATAAATTCAACCACTAGTCAGGAGGACTCAGTGAAGCAGCCTTTGAGGTGAGACAGAAGGAAGAAATCCAGGGTAGATAAGAAAAAGAAAACAAAGCATGTTGTCAAGCTACACCATGTTTGGCTGCTTTCAGCTGACTCCCATTATTCCCTTGGCCTGATTTTAAAGTGGTTTTACATAAATATCTCTAGCAGGAAAACAAATGTCATTCAGGCATATAAAACCATTTATCTGAGCAGCAGTAGAGCTTGGTTTCTAATTCTTTCAAATGAAAGAAGGAAAGCTGACATTGCCCAGCCTTGGTGCCACACGGGGTCTTAGCTAGAGGATTGTATTAATCTGCCTACAGCATGGTAATGCAAGCTAATTTTCATATCCATTTAATGGCATAAAGCACTCACAAGCTCATATAAACTCTGATTGTTTTGCAAGTGCACTGAATTATATGTAATTTTGACTGACATTGTAGCCTGATAGTATTTATGTGTGTGCTTGTCAGCTAGTAAAAATTAGATTCAAATATTTACATTGAATTCTTATTGAATTTGGATATTTAAGTTCTATTATGCAGACAAATTCAGACTGTATACTCAAGTGAAATAATACCAAGCATAGCTTTCAGAAAACCAATTGAACATCTGCAAGTAATGTTTTATAAGTGGATGCTATATGAATAGCTTAGTCAGCATATTGAGAAATTAAAATCTTTTCGAGTCTGTTTTTTTTCTCCTACCTCAGTTAGGAAACTCACATCTAGATTTTTTTCCCATTTGCCAACGAATATAAATTCCTATTTTGTTCCAGAGACTGTACCCTAGCAAGGTGTGGGATTGAAAGGAAAAATTGTATTGCTCCCTTGCAGGCAGGCCACCTCTGCACCAATCAGCTCCTGTAGTTCCCCCTTCATGGGTGATATTTAGGTGACTGGATTGAGCCTCACTTCTCTCCCCAGAGGCAGAACTTGCAAAGTCCAGGATCAGCCTGGAGCAGTCTAGTCTGTGACATCTCATTTGCTTCAAAAGGGAGAGCACATGGGACTCTTCTCACAACAAGTTATTATCTCCTCATATCCAGGTCATTTCCATTTGAAAAAGCCAAGCTTAGCCCATTCCCTACCTTCTCTACTTCCCCACCTGCATGGAGAGGATGAACTTGACACAGAAGCCACCCCACTCTGCTCTGAATGACTACACACATAGCACAGAGCAGTTGTAGAAGATACTGTGGGATTCTGCTCTTTCTCCACTGTGCAAGCAAGAGCATGTCCTGTCCTCAAAGCAACTGGCTGCATCCAGCTCCTCTGTTCCCTGCAAAAACATTGTCCCA